CCTATCGGAATAACGTATCCAGGTCATTATCCCATTAGAGTTTATGACTACGTTTCAGGGGGCTAAGTGTAATTATCGATACCACAGGGACCTTACAGTTATTTAAGCTTACCTCAGGGGGGTGTGTGTAATTTACCCTTATTTTTATTTATCGAGTTTCAAAAACTGTATTTTGAGCTTAGTTTGGTTATCGATTAAGTTTTTATTATTTTTAATAAACTAATAATTGAGCTTAAGCTTCACCGTTTATTATAAGAGAGACGAAACGAATATGCTTGAGATCGTCCATAACGAGTTATAATGATTGATCTCGGATTCAACTGTTTAATCCTTTTGCAGGATCAGTGACTTGGTATGATGGAGATCCATCAAAGCATTTAGAAGAAGCTCATTTTATTACATTGAACAATTCAGATTACTTCAATTAACCATTTTCGGTTAAAGTAATTTGCAGACGTCTCAACAAGTTATTGGGAAATTTGCTAAACCGGCATCTCCACGAAACGACACTGGTAAGAGGCATTTCGGATTGCAAAATCGCATCAATGGAGTCTCCAACAATGATTTAGTCTCTGGTTTTTTGTACATACGTGCCTTTGTGATTACAATTTCTTTTTTTTTTTTTTTTTTTTTTTTCTTTTTTTTCGGTTTAAGGTTTTGTTTGGCATAGGTTTTGTTTTTGTATGTATATATAATATACTAAATGAGAGTCAAAGTATCAACACAGGAGTTGCATGAATATTTTCTGCAAGCATTCATATTTTGAAGTGAGAATCATTAATTAGAAACCCATTTTATACTATGCTACATCAGCTAGAGTATTTGTCATTCATGTACAGATGTACACACAAACACACACGTCCACATTAGTATGTGTAGATCAACGATAAAAAGTCACCAGGTGTAATCTTCACCGGGTGTATCTAGGGGTGATAAACGAGGTGAGCTGACTCGTGAGCTCGATGAACCAACTGATAAAAAGCTCGAACTCGAACGAACCTGAGTTTTTCGAGCTCTAGCATATTTTTAGTTGTTTATGAACTTAATTATCCTGTTTTATTTAGTATTTTGATTAACTGAACTGTTAAATTTTATATGAAAATACTTTTATTTTAAATTTAAATTATATAAATGTTATAAAGTTGATTCAAATTTAAAATCTGGGCCGTGCAATCCGCATCTGATTCGGTTTGCTATTATTTTAGTAACAAAATCGAGACCGTTGGATCATATTCCTCAAAGCCGCTACTACACTGTACTTTTTCGAGTTGGCTTTTAACGGACGCAAAATATATTCATAATAATAATAATAAAACCTATCGTTTACACGCACACTCACACACACACACACACACACACACACACACACACACACGCTGACGTGATTTTTGTGGATAGAGAGAGAGGAAACGACAATGGCAGCAACAGTGAGCGCGTGGGGTAAACCAGGCGCATGGGCGTTGGATTCGGAGGAGAACGAGTCGGAGCTCCTTCAGGCACACAAGGAAGATTCCTCCGCTGCTAACGGCGACGAGAAGTCCGATTATCCATCACTTTCCGCCGCCGCCACTTCGAAGACGAAGAAGAACAAGCCGCAGAAGCTCTCATTTCAGGAATTCTCGGCGTACAGCGCCCCCAAACCGGCGGCTCAGACGAAGGGATTGACGCACGATGAGCTCATACATCTCCCCACCGGTCCGCGCGAGCGCTCCGCCGAGGAGCTTGATCGCAGTAAGCTCGGCGGCGGCTTCAGATCCTACGGTGGCGGGCGGAGGGCAGGGACGAGCAAGCCGCGCCG